GGAAACTATTTTGTGCAACTTTTTTGTATTTACAGTTTTGAGGGATAAGCCTCTTAAATTTCTCTAACTAGAAATATATGTTAAAAAAGCAAAAACGATTTTCAATTTTTTTGTAGTTTATTGCACTTTTTCGCAATTTATGTAATTTCTATGCACTTAATGCAAACATATTATTAAAATTTGGGGTATAATGGTTGTATTGATAGCAACTTGAAATGCTCCCAAAACTGGCACTACACCATGTAAAAATATTATATAAGCTCTGGCGGACTTGGTTCTATGGTAGGTCTTAAAGGGTTAATCATCTGGGAATTTACCCAGATTTATTTATTTATTTAGACAGAGATCTTGACCCCCCAAGGTTCAACACAAAGTTATGCTGATGTATGTATATAAGGTTTTCCTTATCCTCATAATAAATTTTGACAACCTATAGATCCAGTTAACTTGGACTGCTAGATAGATTTACATTTGCTGATGAGTGGAAGCCTAACATTTAAAGAGACCAGTCGGGAAAAGCTGTAAGGCCTCCGGAGGTCCCCGAACCTTACTTTTATAACCCCGCTCTGCCGACTTCAACAACACCCACGCCTCTCTACTGCTGCCTGCCTCTGCATCCTCCTTGCATACTCTCGGGAGTCTGCTGCGGCTGGTAGTCTTCTTGTACTTTAGTAAGCGGCTGTGAGCACACAGCAGAGAAGAAAACTTGGGTAAACTCTACGACTTGAGATGTGAAGACGCACAAAAAGGAGCGAATAGTTCAGGTAAAAACAGCTGCTTTGCTTAACTGAAACAAGGACTCGTAGGAGCAGGAAACCGAATTGGATTCCCTGCTAATGTGCATATATTTAATTTCAGGATGCAAAGGATATTGTTCTGCAGTCTGGGCCTGCTTGTGAGTAGCTGGCACATCTTTGTGTTTTTATGTTTTTTCTTATTACATTTTTTGTCATCTTTTAAATGAGCTCATTTCTCCTCAAACAAACTGGCGCAAAAAAGGTTTTATACCTGAAGCGGTCCTTGTTTCGAGAAGGTAAAGAAAATCAGAAACCTTTTGTTAGTCGAGAGGATTCATTTTGGTCGCTGTCACTTTTTCTCACTTGTCATTATTTTGTAAACCTGTCTTGTGAACAGTGTGAGTTTTCCCAAGAAACTATCATAATTTTAGAGAAATACAATGAACGGACTTCTGTGAAAGTAGCACAGCTGGATGGTCAACAGTTTTATTAATGTCTACTTTATATGAAATAGTCTTTTAAAGGAATACTTTACAAAAAACACGAGGAGGCTAGGCTGGCAGTGATATTATGGAGGACCACGAGTGCCATAATTATTTAACCAAACAAGTAGTTAAATTTAAAAAAGTAAATATAATTAAATAGTTGAAAGATAAATGCATCATTAATTATGGCGAATAATCAAATGGGACAATCATTAATTGATTAAAATTCAAAGTAAGTAAAATATGCATCAAACATTTTAAATGAAGTGAATTACTACTTAATCATTATTAATGTACTGAATTTATTAATTACTTCAAACTTTAATTAATTCCCGGCCCAATTAATTATTTAATGATGTATAGTTTAATTCATTTTGGCACTTGCTGCACTCCTTAGTGAACAGGTGCCCAGTTATCTTTATTATTTTATACCTTTAAAAATTAGCTACATAAACACCTGTGCTTGTCTTACAGGTTTGCTTTCACAGCTATAAAGCAGGTGAGGCTCTCTCTCTCTCTCTTCACCCATGATGTAACTAAACTAGGAACTGCAGTCATTTATGATACATATGATTAAAATGTGTGTTTGTGTGTGTGTGTGTGTTTGTGTGTGGGGGGTTATTTTGTTTTGTTTCACTCCAATGATGAATGATCATGAATCAACTGCTTTGTTTGTCTGAAACTGCTTGCCAGTTAATTTTGAGCCTCTGATAATGTGCAACTGCAAAACCACTTGAATTAAAGGTCTCCATTTGCACTTCAGTCCTAGGTACTATAGTTTTTTTGTGTTTTTGTTTTCGGGAAAACGAACAACTAAAATAACTAAACTAAATATAAAATAAATATAAGAACAACAAGCCAGAGTGAGATGCAGGACAGTAGTACAGGTGGGTTTTTTGTTTGTATGTTTATACTATTTTCTGGCTGATGGTTAGTTGTAAATAGCATAAAAACCAAAGTTGAGAACTGGCAGGTGCTTTAAACCCTAACCCTCCTCTGCATGAACCGAGAAGTTTGGAAAATGGACTCGTTCAAATGTTGAATGAAAAATTTCATTAGATGTCATTTGTATGATAAACAAGCATGTCTGGCCTGTTCTCACAAATATAATTGGTCGTGTTGGCACTGCTGATATTGTAACCATAATAATAATAATAACAACAAAGCCCTGGTCAGGATATGGGCAGGATTAAAACTTCACTTGAATCTCAGTCAGTTTTAGTCTGTATTTTACCACTTCAGTTTGGCCACACCTCCTTACCTGTCTTCTCACGTTTCTTCTTTTTTTGAGCAGCCTTTCTCCTGGAAACCATCACCCAGGTTTGTGATGTATCCTACTATGCCTATGTTCCTGACAGCCTGCAGTGGAACAGGGCTGGAGAAATGTGTAAGCAGCGCACTGGGGCGTTAGCTACTGTCTCCAACGCAGAAGAAAACCAGGAGCTTACCAAATTTTTAAAATCCTTGAACATCTCTCAGTCTGTGTGGATTGCCAAGAAAGTCATAACACGCATCACAAGTAGGTTTAGTAGGTTTTTTAAAACTTTGCATTGACATTAGTGCTGGTCCTTTTATAAATTGTTTTCTTTTTGCTTTTCTTGTCCAGACAAATTCCTGCTTACTTAATCATTTAAATGTTTTCCAGCTGTTTACAGTAAAAATAGGATTGCAAAGTGATTTTTTATAATTAGCTCCTATCTTTTCCAATATTTGTGACAGCATTTTTTCTTAATAGTCTTTTTTTTCCCTCTCTCTCTCTCTGTGGTGACACCAAAGCGTCCTCCAAGACCCTCATTCTAAATTTCACTGGGCGCTCGAACAGGACGCATGCCCGTCTTCGGTACAGCTTCCCCTCCATGGGATCATTGACTGTTTGCACCCTTCTGCGCTTCAATCCGCACTGCTCTGGCCATTCCACAGTCTTTTCATATTCCATTCCGTCATATATTAATGAGTTCCAGCTCCGTGCAAACCTGAACCAGGGCAAGCCTGTGCAGCTGGCTCTGCTCGTCCATGGCATTCACGGGCCTTACCATGACGCCTTCAACTATGATGACTCCTGGCACTCTGTCTGCGTTTCTTGGAGCCAGAATGGTGGACGCTGGGCAATATATGCTCATGGTCACGTTGTGTATGCGGCTGAAGGCCTAAACAGTATGGACAGCATTGGAAATGGTGGCTTTTTCATTATCGGGCAGGAGCAGCACACCTTTGGGGGGTCATTTAAGAGTGACGAATCATTCTCGGGGAGCATAACAGAACTCCACATTTGGAATCGGGTACTGAACAGCAGCGAAATTTCCAGCATGGAAAAGAAGTGCTCACCCGTTTCCTCTGGGCTGGTGTTCAAGTGGAGCGAAGCAGCAATGGAAATAGAGACCTCCCTTACAAAGCAGTGGAGTGACAGCCCATGTCAAGGTACATTAATCAGGATGCAATCAGACGACATGGTCAAAAGCTGAAGGGTTTTTAAAGGCTATGTATTATTATAGCAAATTTATTCACCAACTAGAGGAAAGTATGGAGTTTTGTGTTATTTAGACTATAAAAGACAAAAGAGACTCAATCTATCCACAAGCTCCAGCGGTAGAATTACTTATACTTGGTGTTTGCAATTTAAGTAGGTTGGCACTGGGCCTGGGTGGAGCTGCTGTACAGAAAAACGATTACAGAGAGTCCATTTGAAAGTCATTTTTGACTGCAATCATTTCAGTAACGTCAGACATAACAAAAGATCTAAGCTGGCCTGTTGTAGTTAACTCCACCTATATTACTGATATAACCCTCAGTCTCTGTCCCATCATCTTCTACACCCACATTATTACCCAGTCATAATGTGATCACATCTAAAAAGTCTAAAAATGCTTTGACTTCTAGAACCAAAAGCTGCTGTCAAGTGATGTCATGAAATAGTGAAACTGTTTAACTGCACAGAAAAAAAAAATGTAACTAAAACTGTTAAATGTCATTCATTTTATTTTTATTGGCTCTTTTACAAAATCAGATCATTTACAGATTTAAAAAAACAACAACTAGATGTGTAAATATCCTATGATCACATGTTATGTTAATGTTAATAACCATTTATTATTCAAGTTTTAAACATTAGTAAACAAACACAGGCACACTCTCAGCATCTGTCTCCCTCCCTCCCTTCCTTCCTCCCTAAAATGAATAAGGGAGCTAGTGACCAAGTTGTAACTGGCAGCTGGTGGGGCTGCTGATGTTTCTGGTAAATGCTTTTTGACTCATATCACCCCGAGTCCCACCCTTCAAAACAGACGTCTCCCCTTCTGACATCATGGTCTCTAATGAGCAGTGAAATTCCAAAAATCTCCCTTTCCCTGCTGGAGCCGAGCGTGTAGAAAGGCAGCGTGTTGGAATTCAGTCACTTATTTTCTCTCACACAATCAGAATTTAATTGCAGGTCTTTTAAAGACTATCTCTGTGTGTTTGTGTGTATTTAATGCGATCAATGTAATGTTTGTAGGGTGGCTGTTGCCTTCCTTCAGTTACTGGACTTGAAAGATCTTGGCACTGCCTGCTACTCTGTCAGGCGGGTTCATTTTTCCCTCTCTCTCTCTTCCTCATCAAACCATCTCAGACATACACAATCCAGCATCAACATTAAAAACTCCTGCCAAATACTGGCTAGATCACCATTTGTACATCCAGAGCAATTATGGCTTGGCGTGGACTTCACAAGGCCCCGAAAAGCATTGTGTGTTATCTGGGACAGAGGCGTTAGTGGCCGATCCAGTCCTGTGAGCTGGAAAGCGGAGCCTTCAAGAGTTTACACATGTTTTTCCAGCGCATACCACATATGTTCAGTCATATTGAAACCTGGAGAATATATGGGTCAAGCCAGCACCTTATAAACTCTTGCTTCTAATGTTGTGGCAACAAGGTATAACATGGAAAAGTCCTCTATGGATACAAATTATTATTATTAGAAATAATATCAGCTTTACACTTAGAAGTTAAACATCATTTTATACTAAATAACATCATCTAGCAGTTTATAACCATGACTGTGCTTTAGCATATATAAAAGCAATAACTTTGATCTACAGCTCCACTCCTGCTCAGTTTGAATCGAATGCCAGCACATGCCAAGACCAGTTTCATTCAGCTTAGCGCTCAGACTTTTCTTTTACTGGAGAGCTATGTTGAATGCGGTTTGGTATTGCTGCAACAAACAGGTCGTCCTGGGTGTGATCAATTCACTAAAAAGTCCAAATACATTAGAGCAGCGGTCCCCAACCCCCGGTACCGGTCCGTGAGTCGTTTGGTACCGGGCCGCGAGAGTTGAGGCTCAGGTGTGAAATGTATGGTTTTCTGGGTTTTTATCGGTGTTCAGCGTTATTTTGTTATCGTTTTTATCATTAACTCGGTTTTCCTGGGTCTTTTCACGTGTGTTATGAATAACTCTTCTTTTTTTTCAGTACCCGTACTAGTTTTATTTTGTTGTATTTTTCCACGACACCTTAAAGGCCGGTCCGTGAAAATATTGTCGGGCATAAACCGTGGCGCAAAAAAGGTTGGGGACCGCTGCATTAGAGAATATCGGTGGTCACAGTTACTTTTAATATTAAATCGCAGCAAAAAGATGCTTTTGAGCCGTGATATTCCTTAGTGTACCATAAATCATCAGTATGGCTGCCTGTGGTGCTCCAAAACCTCTATTTGTCTTTCATTGTCAATGGGGCTTTTAGTAATCCCCCAAACATCACAGTTGTTGGCTTTTGAGTTGTATATTAAGTATTAATTGTATACTCTTATCTTTAGCTAGAACAGGACAGTGTCCCACTTGACCCCAGTCTATTTTAAAGGAGCTCAGCCCCAGGAAAGACATGTTTGTTTCGATAGTATAGAGCTACAACATAACATGCTGGACTATCCTCATGTATTAACCAGAAATTTTAAAATGCACCCTCCGAATTTGATGGCCTACATAATGTTGCTGCTGCCCTTCATCATTTCCCGTTATGTCGACCCCTCAGCCACCCCAGCATCCACCTGTAGGCTCCTGAGGATGGTTAACTTTTACTCCCTAGTTTCTACTATGTGTGTCTGTAAGATCATGGATCAAATCATGTTAAGCCTAATCATTTGTAAGATGTCCTTTAGTAAAGCGCTATACAAATACAGACCATTTACCATTTTACCATTTAATTATTAATATTTTTTTTTTAATTAGTTTAGTTTAGTACACAACTTCCCTAGCCGTTTGCTTCCACTGTCTTAGTTTTTTTTCTTCTGATCCTGGCATCAAATTCATAACAATCATAAATTCTTCCTCAGAAAAACTACATTTGATTAATGTATTTTCTGCTATTTTTAATCAAATATAGGCTTCAAAAGATTTGCTGATCATTGCATTCTGCTTTTATGTACATTTATTTACATTCAATAAAACAGATTTAGTATGATGTGTTGCAGACCAAAATAAAAGCTTACGATATGTGTCCAGATTCTGCTAGCAGTGAATAAAAACTAAGATATACATAAACATATATATATGCATACAGTGTTTTAGTATACAAGTAAAGCAAAACAGATTTTAAAATGCTACAATGGACAAATAGATGCCTAGAGTGATAAAATAGAATAGAATAGAATTCAACTTTATTGTCATTGCACATGTCACAAGTACAAGGCAGCGAAATGCAGTTTACATCCATAAGTGCTTTAGCCATAATAGATATATTACCAAATATATATTGGCAATAATACAGATATATAGATATATTATAGAAATAGGTTTGTTAGGTATGAGGGTACAAAATATGGGTCTATTATGGGTATGCATGTTGAGTAAAATATCCAGAAGCATTTGCTAACTGTAAATGAGTAATTTGAAACCATGTTTAATTTACTATTAGTGCAATATTTATACTTAGCCAAGTTAACAAACTTACTCCATTTCTAACGGGGGAGAGCAGGTCAGGTTATGCCTATCTGGGTCAATTTGAATTCACCCAGTTACACCTTATTATATTGTATTTGTAGACTTGTTGATTAGTTTAAGCACTGCTGTGTATTGTTAGTTTCCTGTATGAAATGTCTCACATTTGCAACATTTCTCTATTTTGTATTATCCAAACTACTGTCTATCAGCATAATATCAATATTGATATTTCCCTACGCGATTTTCAACGGCTTAATAATATGTATAAACCTCACTATTCCCTTCACCATGTTTGCAGAGAGCCAGAGAACCGATGAAGAGTGCGGCATTTTTGACCCCGTCACAGAGCATTCCCGCCTAGCCAAATGCAACTCCTCCAGAGGAGCTGTCTGTCAGTGTAGGCGAGGTACAGATAATAATTATTGTGCATCAACAAATGTGATTGAATTATGCAATTCAGTTTTCTTGCTTTTAAATTATTTTTAAATAGGTTTTTAGGGTGCTGTGTGTGCTTTTGTGTGCTAATGGATTGCAGCATATTATATTATATTTGTCCGTCTCTGCAGAGAAGCTGGGTGTTTTCAGTTTACCAAAGACACCCTTCTTCAGGAGGCTGAACAAGGATCTCATCAATAAACCTGTGAGTCAGCCTGTTGAGCTTTGAGGTGGTTATTAGGTAGTGCAGTGGTGGTACAGTCTGATAAACTACCAAGTATTCATGTTAGTGAGCAGATCACCAACTTTATCTCCAATTAAGCTGTTTTGTGGAAGATGTATCCAAGTAAAAAATTGACACACTTAAGAAACTCTTGGAACTATCTGATCCAATTTTAGGAGAGTCATCATCTCAACTTTGTACATTTGTTAGGATCAAAATCCCAGAGAATCACCTAAGAATGCTTGGTGAATAGAAGTGATTGAAGTATAAAAGGACCAGTGAATCAGCAGTTAAGTTAATGTTATAACTTTGTTCTATTCTGTTTATTCAGGTAACAGGAGGGGTGGGTGCTAACAGCTCCTGGGACAAATTGACCTTGCTGCAGCAGCTGACCCAAGCTGTCCTACATAAAATAGAGGCAAGTGGCCCGCTCCTCCTGACCGCCAACGATGTTTTCTACCTCTCTCAGATGATGGACGTAACTCCACCAGCTAGATTTCACTCCGCCGGAGATAATGCCACAGAGGTCATGGTGTCCATTGCCACCAACTATCTAAATATTGCGAGTCTGATCCTGGAGCCACGCATGGCTTCACAGTGGATGGGTCTGACGGATGATGGGGTGAGGCGTAATGTTTCTGTGATGATATCTCTGTGAAATCCTCCAATTTTTTTACTTAATTAAAATTGTGTGTTTAATAACATTTTACCTCCTTAAATTATTAAAAGCATTGTAGCAAATTAGTGTACCCTGGGATTTAAGCGCATACGGACTATGAGAACCTTATTTAATCCATCAGAAAAGAATTTAAAGTTGTTTCTTAACTATACATAAGAAACCTGTTTGCATCACTTAACAGTCTGTGTTTCTATCCTTTATTTATAATGCGGATTTAGATTTAATTACTTGCTGGGTACACCCTGGATATGTCACCATCTATATCTATCACAGGGCCAACACACAGAGACAACTATTCATGCTTATGTTGCACAAACAGGCAATTACATAGGACATGCAGGCCCCAGCCAGCTGGTGCATACATAACCCAGGACTCTGTTGCTTTGAGGCGCCCTGCTTACTTACTTAAATATAATCTACTCTCCAAAGATAGCTCTTCACCTCCATTAACCTGTGTTTGATCGATTTGTTCAGGTCAACATTGGCCCATTTACGCTTGTCAAGACCATTGATAAGTTCACTGAAGCTTTTGCAGAGATGCTTTGTACTAAGGGAAGAAGCTTGAGTCTTTCTACCAAGAATATAGGTGAAAGGACACACACACACGCGCGCAATGATCGAAACATTTGGTGGCTCTTGGCTTTCTAACTTATGGTTTCTGTTAATATTTTCATTGCATCTGCTTGGCTGTCAGATGTGTACATGAAGTGGCAGAAGCTGTCCCAGGAGAGCTGTAATCAAGTCTACAAGCCATCTGCGTTTGGCTCTCACAAGCCCAGCAGCAGTAGCCACGATGAGTTGCTCATTCCTGAGACCGAGCTCCAGAGGATACACACACTAGGTAGTAAACACACACACACACGGAAATGCACTTGTTCTAGAGGCTAACCGTAACCATTAGTTTACACTACAAATGCTATAGACACATATTACATTGTTAGATGCTCACCTAGATGAACCACTGACCCACACAGTGTTTTTGTCCACTATCTCTAAACAGGATATGAGGAGGTGATATTTATTCATACCCATTACAACCAGTTCAGTGACATTGTATCAGGAACAAAGGAGTCTGCACTGAGTGACCAAGAGAAAGTGAAAAGGTTTCCTGTTGTTTGTTTCTCTGTTTTTAATGAACTGTAATTTCTTATCTTATCTTTGTGGTCTGGATTCAGCCACTTTTACTCTAAAACATGGGGATTAATCTGATGGTTGTAGTTTGAATTGATTATGTAAGATGTATCTCAGTGATAACCATTGCCTGTTTTCCCAGAACTCTCCCAGGAGATCTAGCATCGGCTATCATATCAGCCACGGTCCGCCATGCCTCGAACCCCGAAACCATACCTGTTGCTGTCAAGTACACCCTTTCATCATCACAGGTGGCGCAGCCTATTGTGCAGAGGATGTCACACAGCATGATATTAGCAGCTATGCAATTTTCGTTTATTAAAAATAAGTTGCAGCATTTTATTTTACAGTAATTTTCATCACTTAGCAAGCAGCACATGGAATAGAAAGAAATAGTCATTTAAAATAAGCCAAAGTTTGATGACCAACCACAGATAAATTAAAACGAGGATAAAGATGAAAACAAATGCAAACATTATTCTGTTTCTAGGTGGAGTATTCAAAGAGAGTTATTCCTGTTTGTGCCTTCTGGAATTTCAGTCTGACGTAAGTTTGACCAACAGCACAGTCACATGAATATGCCTGAAAATTGTATTATTTCAATTAATTCGATAAATGATGTAGGAAGTAGCCTATTGTTTGATGTTTTATAAGACATGTCACTATCCCTGCAGGATGTCTCAGTCCTAAATATGAGTGTGATTCTTTACCAGTGAGTGTGTTTGTGCTTGTGTATAGGCACACCAATACCAGTAGCTGGTCCAGTGAAGGCTGCACAGTGATCCTTGATGGCTCTAGTGTCACGTCCTGTTTGTGTAACCATACAACAAACTTTGCAGTGCTGATGAATTACCTCGAATCACAGGTAACTTGAGCTCGATTGTGATGCCCCCATTTAAATCACACACATCAAGTTTTAGGTTATTTAAGGTAAACTGTGAACAATCTTGTAAAGGTATGAGTTATGTGTAACATGTATATTATGATACATTTCATATTCATGGTAAAAATGGCGTCGCATATCCGGAATAATAAAAATAAGCAGGGTTTAAAATGAGGTAAGTATAGTCTCAGACGTGTCTCATTACACCACATCTTTATTAATTTATCAAATATTAGGCCAAAATGCGAAAGCAGTGTATGATAAACTAAGTGCACTGTTACTTCTTCCATACATATTAAATGGTAAATGGCCTGTATTTATATAGCGCTTTACTAGTCCCTAAGGACCCCAAAGCGCTTTACATATCCAGTCATCCACCCATTCACACACACATTCACACACTGTGATGGTAAGTGGCTGCTAAGCAAATAGAAGTGAATAAATGGTTATTGATAAGTGTGCCCACCTCTATAAAAGCAGATGTTTTAGCAGTTGGCTGGTCTGGAGCATTCAGGTCTGCTTTCAAATTCAGATAATCTTCAGAGAAAACCCCAAAGCTACACTTCAGGCCTCAGTTATGATGCTAAAGTTCATGAAAGTACATTTGATGAACATTTCATGCAATTTTGCATTTGCAAAATCACAGTTGTGCAAGCCATGAGACCCAAGTGGAGATGTTTGGCCAGAATGCACAGAACCGCCTTTGGAGAAAACTAAACACAGCATGTCGGCACCAACACCTCATACCAACTGTCAAGTACAGTGGTGGAGAGGTGATGATTTGTGCACCTAGCAGCCGTTGGTAAATGACAAATGTAGCACTTTTCTACTCTACCTGAGCACTCAAAGCACTTTGTACAACTTACCTTATTAGCCCATTTGCACCTATTCATAAAGGAACTTTTTGTCTATGCTTTTTCTAGGTAAGGGCTTTCTGTCTATCTCACCTTCATACTCTGATAGATGCAAATGAGAACAACTTGGGCTCAGTAGCTCGCCCAAAATGAGAAAAATGTGAGAAACAATTAAAGTTACTTCAAGTTATTGCAGATCAAGGTGTTTCTACAAGCTGCTGGGCCTTAAGTTGCACTTAGTTTTTCACATACTGCTTCTGCATTTTGCTCTAGTTTGTGTTAAATAAATAGTGATGTGATATAGTAGGTCTTTTATTGTTCATCTAAGACCTGGTAAGGAATACATTTTGAATAAATGTCCTAATGCGGTATTGTATTATAGCTCATGGAGGATGTACTTTATTCTTTATTATTGTATGGTTTTTAACTTACAATACAAAGCACTTTAAGGTGACTGTTGTTGTGATTTAATGCTATATAAATAAAACCGAATTAAATGTATTTGAATTACTTTTTACCGTGACTGCTTGTCTAAATCAAGATCCAGTTTAATATTCGATCTTGGGGATAGGATTTGCAGTACATGATTTCTGCCAGCAGGTGTCACTCATACTGCGCCTGTTGTGTTGAAGGATGTAGAATGTAGTACAGCTATTCTCTCTGTTTACCTGAAGAACATAAAAGTTTGTAAGTTCATCAAAGAGCAATACCATCGGCAAGATTTTGAGTTTATAAAAATGCAACCATTTATGTATAGCGATGATGTAAGAAATCACTTTCTTTCAGATCAAATGAGGGATTTTTCAGATATTGGACGGCTTCTCGTCAACCTCTAGGACTCTCTGACAACATTCTCCCCTCTTTTGTCTTTCTCCCACAACATGCCTTTCCTTTCTGTCCCAGTGGAGTCCAGAGGAAGAGCTTATTTTGACCAAGCTGACATTCATTGGCTGTGGCGCATCTCTGTGTGCTCTGGTGGTGACCTTGATGCTGTTCACTGTGCTGGAGTAAGTAACTGATTTTTCCTGACCTGCTTGCCTATGATGCGAAAATAGCTGCCTGTTTTCTGTCTGCCTGAGCCACGAGACGCAAAGCAGCCTCACCTTTTTCTGTGCTGCTAAACACAGCAGTCACTTTTTACACCTGGTGTCAAGCAGATGCAGTGGTTCTGCTATACATATTTTATGTTGTATACTGTATTGTGTTGCTCAAGTACCTACATACTTTTGAAAACAGGTTCATCATTATTTCCAAAGTCAAAATAGCAAAAAACTCTCTTTATAATAGTGGTCTTGAAAATGCTAAAAGCTTATAATTTGGACTCATTATATGGAATTTATGTAGCACAAATATCATTTAGGCATTTTTTTGTGTGTTTTTTACACCTTTTTGGGCATTGCCATGTTATAAGAAAGATACGCTGAGATAACTGATCAGTAGTATCGTTGCTGCTCTGTTCCTAAAGCTATGATAGTATTGACTTGTGCTAATCCAGTAATTACTGTTGTCTACATGTGAGTCCACCCTGAAGGTTTATGGTGGCATTCTCTAGCTGTTAATTAACATTACGGTCATTGAGGGATCGCGATCAGCTGGAGAGGAGCTGCCTCGGCAATTTACGACTGCCCTAAAAACAGAGAGCGCAGGCTCGCGTTTCACGCGCGCTGATGTATGATGTACATGTGTTTGTGCGCTTAAATTCACTCGCAACCAGAGACAAAGCTGATGCTCACAAAGCCGAGGACGCTTATATTCATGCGGCGGGATTACAGTGGTCTCAAGCAGTGATGCAGACATGAAATGAGCCTGATGGGCAGATAATGAGAGGCTCTCTAGTTAATTTACCTCTCAGCCAGTTTCAGCTGTCTTTTTTTTTTCTGTTTTCTGTTTGATATTTCAGTCTGAGATGGAAATATTCAATGTATTGAAGTTGTGTAAAGATAATACGAGTAGTTGTTTTGATCTTTTTGGGTGTTTGAGGAAACAGTGACATATATGGTTTCCTTATTGTGGTGCCATTGACATTTTCAGTTAGTTATGCGAACAGGTGGGGGGGTAGAAGGCACAAAGCACGTTGTCAGTATTTTACGTCACATCTCAGAACCAAGTCAATCTGTGAATTAGTGAGATTCTGCACAATTCTTAGTTCTGCTCCTTTATTCTGTATGAAAAGCTTTTCTTTTATCTAATCCCTGCAGCCGCCTGAAGGCAGCATTCCAGTTAACTGTTGATCAATCTGCAGCTATTTTTGAGAAGTGTAGCACCGGAGCATAGTGATATTATGTACCAGCTTCCCTTCTTGTTTACCTTAATATAATCATGTAAAACACGCAAGTGCAAGATCACTACACATACCATAGTGTCTGTTACAGCCCTCTGTTTCTTATGACCAGATATTTGGCTCATTTATGACTGGTGGCTCCTCTGTCTTACATTTCGATTGATGTTATTGGTGACATGTGTTAAACAGCAATGTTGCAAAACCAGAGAAATAGGGTAACAGTTTTGTGTAGAGCCGATGTGGGATAGCTTCCAATTTTGTTGTACTATTGTACTAGGTATGACTGCACAATGACAATAAAATTTATCTTATCTTATCTTATCTTATCTTATCTTATCTTATCTTATCTTATCTTATCTTATCTTATCTTATCTTATCTTAGCAGTATAACTGAGATAGCATTTGATTGGTGCAATGCTGTGTAAGCAGGCTCCATAGCATATATCTTCCTTCGGATGAGGTTTTGTTATCCCCCTCTGTATCCACAGTATCCCCAAATCCGACAGGACGTCCATTCACAAGAACCTGTTCGTTGCCCTTATCTGTGCCCAGGTGATTCTGCTGTGCAGCGGCTCAGCCATTCACAACAAGGTAAATGTTATGTTGATTTTTAAAAGTAGGTTTGCAGATTTCATAACCTTTATAGAGGGTATCATTAAATATTGTTAGAGTTACACCTATTTGCAGTATTTTTACAGTGAAACAAGCAAGTGATTTAAATCCAGATTTAAGAAAATACAGAGCATTTATAACACCTACATATGAATTGTGCAGTATTTAGCTCAAGCTTAGAAATATTTGAAATGACTGTCTAAATGAAAAAACACGTCTTTAGTTGGTTTTTAATTCCTATTGCAAATAAATCATAATCATTCATTTACACAAACTAACATTTGCTGAATAGAGGCTACAAAAGCATGCATACAGTTATCTGTGATCGTGGGATTGATAATGATGTCAATGGGATATTTCGTCTTAAACATACAGTTTAAACATTTTTCATTTGTGTGTGTAGTTAAGGCTTGTAGCCATTCTTGACTTTTATTACTTAGTATCACTAATGCAACTTTCATCTCATAATGACAAATCTTATGTTTATGCCTGTGCTTGTGTGTTGTAAGGTGGCTTGTACGCTCGTGGCGGCGCTGCTCCATCTCTTCTTCATGGCGGCATTTAGCTGGATGCTGGTGGAGGGTCTGCTGCTCTGGAGCAAGGTGGTTGCAGTCAACCTAAGCGAGGAGCAACATATGAAATATTACTATCTCATCGGCTGGGGTACAGTTACATGACCAAACCAAATTGTTCCTTATCGTTACACATGCAGACGGGCTGCCAGGTTTTTCTTGTGGAAGTAGTTGATTTGTCACACTGTGTAATGTGCAGTGCTCTAACTGACTCTCTATATGTGCGATTCAACAAAACATCAGTGCTTTTACCTCCTCTGTGTGTATTTTTTAAAACCTCTCAATCTAACCAGGTCTGCCTGTGCTGATAGTCACCATCACACTAGCGTCAGCCCCGAGCAAGTACTCGGCTGATGACTACTGCTGGCTCAGTCTGCAGAATGGCATTATCTGGGGTTTTGCTGGGCCTGTCATCTTCATCATCATGGTCAGCAAATTGAATTATAATTAGCTGAACTGATGTTGTTAAAATAGAGCATAACAGGGATGATAGTTTTGGACTATAAAACCTAATGTTACTACCTCTCCTTAGATATTTGTATTTACTTTCTTTTATGACGGTCTCTGTGGAATCTTTGCTTCTTCCTCATTTCTGTACTCTCCTGATTTTATTTTGAAGGTGAACATATTGGTATTAACCAGGGTTGTGGTCATCACAATCTCCACAGCCAAGAGAAGGTCCATCATGTTGGCCATGGGAGCCAGTCCGGTGGAGCGAACGTATGAGCAGATCAGGTACCAACCACAAGGAGGCACCATTTGTCCTCTTTTTAATGTGTATTGGCCTCGGCCAGAGGCCTTGAAACGGACAAGCTGTAGTCATTAAGTGATTTTGTACTGCATTTTGTCATTTTAAATCAGTGGCTTTTGTTTATCAGGCGAGAGAGAGGAATACTTTTGAGTGGATTTTATTAGTGATAGCCATATAAAGGACTTAACTGATTGCAATGTTATACTCTCAGTGTTTAATATCGTTTAAGTCCTGCCAAATTGTATATATTGTCTTGCAACAGTATATTTAACTTGTGCTTATGTCATAGAAATAATTCAAACTATGGTGTTGTTTGGAATTGAAAGATTATGTTACTAACTGACAAATTTATATTCTTTCAATTTAAAAGAAAAATATATAAATACATATGATATGTTTGTTAACTTATTTTAGTTTGGATTAATTTAGTGTTAATTTGAAATGTAGCATGCGTGCAAATCACTAACTCAAGTCCCGGAGTTTTGTACAGTTAACGTTTCTTGTTCCATACCATCTACCATTGCTAAACCTGCCTTGGTACACTGACGTCTCCGTTGCTGTTGCACTGTGATGTCAGTACAAAAGCACCATCCCAGGCTGCGTCCCTGCTGTCTTTTCACTTCAGTGGGATTGGAGTAAAATCCTGCAAGCTTCTTTGTAATCCTAGCAGATGAAATCATGATTGTGGGCGTGTTTGAACCTACCTTAGTCCACTGGGGCTCACAGTAGGTGCTTTATGAAGGTTTTCAAAACAGGCCTTGAACTATTTGCCTGGGTGGCAGCCATCTCGGAAACTCAAACACATTCCTCCGCTGAATAAACTAGGGCCCGTCGCATGCCATGTCACACACACGAGAACACACAGACAGCTGTTGCGGTTTGGCGGTCGCCTAAGCGGAACGCTAATTCCACTCTAAACAGAATTAAGGTGGATTTAAGGTGGGAAGTTTTCACCCCGTGAGCCTTCCAGCTGTATAGGCTTGTATATGGAACAACTGGCTCACCGGAGCTTCTCAGTTTTGACAAAAAAAAATAGAAAGTTGGAAATTGAATAGATGATCAGAAGGAGAACCTGAAGGAAATAATTAAATACATTTTACGTGGTTTGCTCAGCTCAATCAGCTACTTTAGAGTGGTGTGATTGGTTGTTGTGTTTGTGGGTACAGGGCTGCAGTGAAAGCAGTGTTGGTGTTGCTGCCCATCCTTGGACTGACATGGCTGTGCGGTGTTTTGGTTCCTCTATCCATTGTAATGGCCTACGTCTTCATCCTCCTAAACTCCCTACAGGTACACACACACACACTCAGCTCACAGATGTTGTGTTCAGTGTGTGAAAGTCTCGAAACCTAAAAAGTATTCGGGAAAATAATATCAGTCGTGACTGCAATACGTTTACGCATGCAAAAGCTCGCCTGGCGATCTGTATTGATTATAGCGTATAGAAATAATACGCTTGTTATTTACACTATAATTACAATGAGACGTCTTTTGAAATAAACAAATCCAAGCATGCATAATTCTCTCAGTTGTAATATCTCCAATGAGAGAAGTACCTTCATATCGCACGTATTTTTGAAAATCTTGTCATGAAGGAAAAAAATGGAATAAGGCTGTGGCGAAAACTTTTGAACAACTTGAAAAAAAGTTCAGACTTTTAACAGCTTTTTTTCATCAGTGAGAAACAGAAAGGTTTTCCATTATACATTGTAATTCTGCCCTTCTCACATGGTGAGGGTACACAGACTGTCAAGGTTTTTATTTGTCAGTGACAAGGCTGAGGCAGAAAGGGGAAAAAAAGAGCTCCGGTCTGGCTTGTGTTAAGGAGGTGCTTCATTTTAACAAGGAAAGTGGGTTTGTATTGTTTGTTTGATTATTTGTGTTTTATGTATTCAGAGGTCAGCATTACTCTTGTTTTTTTGTGCCTTATCAACGTTGGTTTTTAGGCTTTTAGTGCTGAAAGTTAGCAGTTTGACTGCCACAAACTTTGAACAAAGATATATATATATATATATTTTTTTTTATTGGCACTGTTTAAAATAATACAGCAAAATTCATGAGGTGTGTCTGTGGCCATTACGGCTCCATTTTAAAATGGTCACAATATGAAACAAACAAAAAAAAGAGTTATCTGAAGCCTTACTTTCCTCAGCAGTGATTGCGGGAAAGCCTCGGATATGAAATCATGTAATTCTCTCACTGCAGCAGGCGGCCCCGGGTCAGCCAGCCTCGGCAGCGTCTCCGGATCTGCTGCTGCGATTTGTAGTTGTCTTTTAATCAGCTGTATCTTTAATTGAGTTGTATATTTAAAGGGAAAATCAATAGAGGTTTCAGCTGCGGTCTGATCTTTACGTCCGGCTCCTTGGTTACCATAAATAGTTTCTGTTTCTCCCTCATATCTCATTATATTTTTTTCTGTGTCGACAGTAATTAATGAAGAAGGTTTTCTTTCTGGGCTCTTATTATACAAATGCACTGCTTTGCATGCTAATGCATAACATGGATTTCTATTCTTTTCCATGCAGCGGCGTGTCTGCCGCTGTCCAGCCTCTGTTATTCTCTCGGATCTCTGGTTTTCTTTCCAGCAATGTATTGTGGGTATATTGCAAAATGGCAAAGTTTGGGATCAAAATGTAAAATAAGCAGCCTCAGAGACGGCTCGCCTCAGGCTCTAGGTTTAAATAAAGAAATGAAATATTTGCAGTTACACTTTTGACATCACAGATTATATTTTCTTTGTCTTACTACATACTTTCAAAGGTAATGGACAGACCATGCATAGTTCCTTTGTGTGTTTGTGTGTGTGTGTCTTGGTGCTGTTGGGATTTTTGGGCAGCTATAAGAGGCCTGTGGTAATACCCAGCTGCTCTGTGATAAAAGAGCTACATAGTGGCTCTTTCAGGAACCCTACCAGGCTGCACTCTGCTCTTTTGACCCCGCTCTTCTCACTGTGACAATTAAAGATGGAGAATTTTTACTTCACCTATGAAACGAGCTACCAGACAACATGCTAAAAACAAATGAAATAATTAAAAAGGTTTAAGAGGGTTGTTGGTGTAAATGTGCTCCAACATGCTCATGTTTGTGCTTTAATTTTCTTTACTGACAAAAGTCAGATAACCTGGGGAGGAAGGGGAGTCAGCATGGTATTTTTACTTTTCCTATTCGCCAAAAAGTAACTCTAAGTTGTTCTATCAGTGTCTGCTTGTGGGTGTTGGTCAAACTTTTGTCCATACTGAAATATCTTGACAGCTGCCGAATAAACTCTCATGACTCTTTGTACAGAAATTCATTGTCTGCAGAAGACTTTTGATTTTGGCCCCACGTTGTTCAGCCGAGTTTGGATATTTTTCTCTTGCACAACCGTGAAAAATCTGGTACCATGATTCGTTCTCCAGTGACTGAATTGATGAACTGATCCTGTAATCAGGACAGTCATCATTAATAATTCCTCCTCAGCCATCTCTGCTTGCAGGTGCCACTATAAACCATTTAACTGTTATCCCTACACTTTTGAGTGACTTCTGTTCTAGGTTAGGTTCTGTGTGAGCATCTGTTTTAAACAAATTCAACAGATGAGGTCCATATATGTTTGACTAAACCATTTTAACTTGCAGAAAACACTGAAAGATTCATATGATTCTTTTTTTGGTCAGCTGCAGTTTATAGAATGTAAAAAAAATAATGACAGAAATAAAATAAAAAAATAAAAATATGAAAGTGCAAAGGCTAAAATGATACTAATTTTCTTTGCAATTTTTTATGATTTGAAGGTTTAGGCTTAAAGATTTCCTTGTGTTTAATTGAGCCTGTGTTTATATTTTAATTTTGTTTAATGACCCTCTTAATATGTTAATTAAACCTTGTGTTACAGTGTATCACTACGGTCGTGTAGATGCTATTGCCTTCTATAGTGTCATGGATCCCTTTGGTGTGGGAGAGTCCAGCAAAATATGGTCCCTCTGTAATGATGCTCGTAAAGATGATGAAATGTGTAAAACCTTAACAACGATGCATGCACAACCTGAGCTAGTGAGTGGGCGATAGGAATAAGCTTTAAAAAAAAAAGAAAGAAAAGCAAATAAATAAATAAGAACGTTCAGGTTTTTTAGGAAATCGTTTTTTATTTGCAGCTGTTGTATTTTCAATGGGCCAGCCAAAGCAACATAAAGCTTAAGCGGCAAGCCTTTACTGTTAAATCAATAAAACAGATAATGTTGACAAGCCTTTTTCATTGCTCTCCCTCGTGCCCTCCTCGCTCGTCTTCTTCCTGCTCCCTTCTTCCTGAAGTATGTCTACCCTTACTGTTATTTCTCAGTGCAAACCAGCTGCAGCGGGCCATTACGAGCAAACATACTGAAGACCGGGCACACAGATGCACTGTACGTCTGCTTCTCTGTGCAGCGAGGGCTCTGAATCTCATCCCTCGCTGCTGCTTCGTTTTGGGTGAAAGTATCCGACATGTGCGTGTCATCTGTGCAGAAGTTATTTGAGTTGTTTAATAATTCTGTTTGGCAAAACAAGAAGGCAGAAATGTTGATATTTTTCTTGATTGGTCCGATGGCTCGTGTGTAGTGCTTTCTTGTAAAGCTATAGAGAAATATTTTTATTTTAGGGAGTATCGGTCAATGCGGCACTATTGTAAACACTTCTAATGCTCAGTAGATGTAAAAACCCACAGCAACAGCTGCAAGTCACATTTCATGTCAAACCAAACACATCAGAAATGAAAAACTAATATATGGGATTTTAGTTTTTAAAGAGAACCATGTGGAGTTTGGAGCAGATATGATGTTCCCCCGACTCAATTCTAACTTCCTGCTCTGAGCCGGTAGTTTTTATGAACATCTTCACCATAAATGCAGACATGCCTCATCTGCCTCCTTATCAAGCTAGAGATAAATAGCAGCGAATAGCGTGTGCGCGCGTGTCAGCGAGAGCGAAAAGGGGAACAGGGGCTCTTTGGGGAGGCCATAAATTGCTCCATCCTCCGTCATCCAATCTCTTGGCAATGTCATTCAAAATCCCCTCACTATCCATTACCTGGGTATAATAGGCTCCTGGCCATGCAGTGTCCATCTTATTATTAGCCCATAACTTTAAACTATCAATAACTTTGAGGTGCCGAGAGAGACATTGGGCGGACGGGGGGATGAAAAGAGGCAAGGGAGAAAACAAAGTAGAGAGGAAGGAAGTTACGGAGTTGGAAAGAAAATGTTAGGGTAACGATCGTTCTCAGTAAGTCGTGGAGAGCGCAACGAGTCCCTGTGGTTTGTTTTCAGTTTTTTGGATTTTTTTTTCAAGAATGCATCCTTTTATTTCTGTTATGGCCATTCGCTTCCTGCGGAGGGCAGCCCTGTGCCTTGTCGTTACATTGCAAATATATAGAGAAATCAATGAGATAATTTATCTGAGCTGTTTCATTCATATCACATTAAGTTCTTTTATATCATAGGAATTGATGACAACAACATTTTTTTTTTTTTTAATGACATGAACACGGCGGCGAGTCTACAGGTGCTCTGTCCCTGTGGGATAAAGATGACTTTAGAAGAGATATTTGTACACACCAAGGAAGAATGAGGTATGAAGTATGCTGGTTTGGTTTTGCCAAAAAGTTGGTCCGTGTAACTGTCCCCTCCCCCCGCCTCCACTTCTTCCCTTTGCTTATGATAACATTGCATTGCACTCCAGTTACTTCACTTTAGATGCTCACAAAGTAAATAAAACACTCCTGATAATCCAAAGGAAGACTGAGGTGTAATTTTAAAGCAGCTAAAGGTTTCAAAAAAAATATTGTTTGCATTGTAATGAACTCCTCTACTCAGTCCACTTACATCAACACACATTTACACGCGCTTGGCTGGTGGACGTCAGTATGCATCCGTGATACAGATATGATCAATAGAGTCTCGCACCGCTTATTGATTTTTGCCATATGGGAGATTTGCTGTATAAGTGAGCCATGCTTTTACAGCATCTGAAGCGATTGTTCGAGAAGAGGTGATTTCTCCTCTTTGCTCAGTAGGTCAGAGACTACAAAACATCAGAGATTACTTCTGTAAAAAAATTGAGATTAAATTTCATGTTAACAGATTTAGTGTAACTGGATGTTACTGCATTGACCGGACTTTATAATATGCTAATATCTGACCTCTGCTCACGCTGACTGACCAAGTGGAAGTGAAAAACCACAGCAAATGTTTTTAAAGATTAAACACTCGTCACTTAACGAGCTCTCAGCTAAACAGAAAAGTACTTAATGTTGCCCCAAAATACAAACCGACAGC